GAGACACAGAATCTGAAGCAGGCTCCAGGCTCTGAGCTGTCAGCACAGAGCCCGACACAGGGCTCGAACCCACGAACCAGGAGATCATGACCTGAGTCAAAGTCTGGTGCTTCACTGACTGAGACCCCAGATGCCCCTATTTATTTATTTTGAGAGACAGAGACAGAGAGAGAGAGAGCGTGAGCACATGAGCGGGGGAGGGGCAGAGAAAAAGAGAGAGAGAATCCTAAGCAGGCTTTTCACCATCAGTCAGCACAAAGCCCAACACGGGGCCCGAACCCACGGACCATGAGATCATGACCTGAGCTGACACCAAGAGTCAGACAGCTCACCAGCTGAGGCCCCCACGGGCGCCTGGTTCATTACTCTCTTGAGTTATTTTTCATCATTCTTTTATAACCCAGAGCACATGCCCAACGGGGGTGTGTAATAGGTTGTTTGTCGCGCCGGCGTCTGGACTCATTCTGTATTCATTCTTCTAGTACTTACTTCTTTCGCTGATATTCTAGTCCTGAGAGTCACATGAACGTGTCGAGCAGCTGTTCCTTTATTTGGAAGTATTGTTAGATTATCCCCATTTTACAGATGAGGATAGTGAAACACAGAGAGCACGAGGAAGCTGAGGAAGCTCACACAGGGGAGCCAGAATTAGAACTGAAGCCCACTCAGCCACCTCCTGGACACTATGCTCCCCACTCGCCATCTCCCCCAAAAAGTAATACGTTTTTTTAATGTTTATTTATTTTTGAGACAGACAGAGGACGAGCAGGGGAGGGGCAGAGAGAGAGGGAGATACAGAATCTGAAACAGGCTCCAGGCTCTGAGCTGTCAGCACAGGACCCGATGTGGGGCTCGAACCCACCAACTGCAAGATCATGACCTGAGCCGAAGTTCAACACCTAACCAACTGAGCCACCCAGGCGCTCCAGAAAAAGAAATTTTTTTTTTAAGTTTACTTATTTATTTTGAGTGGGGGTGGGGGAAGAGGCAGAGAGGGAGGAAAGAAAATCCCAAGCAGACCCTGTGCTGTCAGCTCAGAGTCTGATGTGGGGCTTGAACTCATGAACCACAACACAAGATCATGACCTAAGCCGAAGTCAAGAGTCGGGCGCCCAATCAACCGAGCCACCCAGGCGCCCCGGAAGAATAAGAATGTTTAAGTAGTGGGGCACCTGGGTGGCTCGGTTGATTGGGCACCCGACTCTTGACTTCAGCTCATGATCTCACGGTTCATGGGTTTGAGCCCCGTGTCAGGCTCTGTGCTGACAGCCGGCTCGTAGCCTGGAGCCTGTTTCAGATTCTGTGTCTCCCTCTCTCTCCCCCTTGTCTGCTCACACTCTGTCTCTCTCTAAAAAATACAGATTAAAAAAGTTTTTAAAAAGAATGTTTAAGTATAAGTCACCGGAGGAGAATACACACGCACACACGCATGCACACACACACACACACACAGACCACTCTCAGTGCCCACCAAAATCTTTGCGCCTCTCCTTGATTTCCCCTGGTGACAGGGAGCTCACTACCTACCAAGGGGCCATACTATTTTCCCCCATCTCTTCCACCCGGCTGCTTTGGGCCTTGAGTGTCTTCACAGGGCAACATCTCCAACATGAAAGTAGGGGAAGGCGAGGAAGAGCCAGCCAAATGCAGCTGAGTGGTTGGGAGGCCGTGCTAGCAGGGGGTGTTGGACATGAGACCATGAAGGTCTCAGCCACCGCAGACCTTGATTGCCCCTGGCATCTCTCTCCCTTCCCCCTTCGGGCCCCAGGCACTGACGGCTTCCTCCTTTGCCGACCCTGGGTGCTGCACTGGCCCCCTGGGATTTCCCCAAACCTCTGTCAAGAGCCCTCCATGACATGCTCAGTTCCCAGCTGGAGGGTCCCCGCCTGCTACACACCCGGGCCCAGACCCTGCCCTGTTTTTTCCCATCTGTGGCTTCCGAGCTGCAGAAAAGTGCGGGTACCACAGGGCAGCCCGCCCATTTCACAGATGGGAAACTTGAGACCCCTAGTGGTGTGTATATGAGTCTACTGGTGACTGTGAGTGGCGTGTAGGTAAAGGATTTTTGGTGCCTCCTTAGGAAAGACCAAAGAGCTTTTATTTTTGCTTTATAAGCTACAACATTAAAACTGAGAATTTTTTTTAAAAAGGGAGCATTCATTTTTAAAGAGCAGCAATAAATCTATTACAGGTTACCATTAATAACATGTGTTTAACATAGACGTTCCAATATAAACCACGTTAGTGACAAGAATGCCGTTGACAAGAGTCCGGCATTACAGAAGGCAGCCAGGCCCTCGAGGCTGTCCCTGCATGGGGTCTGTTGTGATATCACATGCTGTGCAGCTTCTGGAAAATTCCACAGGTCACCGGTGCCACAACGAAGCAAAAAACACAGAAAAACGTCTCGGTGTGCGCGTGTGACCTAGGAGACCGCCTGAGAAGGGCTCAGGAACTTCCGGATGGACTTGTCTCGTGCTTTCCACCACGCTATGAGGTGTGTACTAGATGGAAATTTACCTCATTTTACAAAGAAAAAGACGGAAGCCCAGAGAGGTGAAGTTCCTTGCTCAGAGTCACACAGCAGACCTGGGGTTTGAACCTGAACAATCAGGCTCTTAACCTTGACAAAATCTGTGTGTACGTGATCATAAATCAATTGCATAGTATGAGCGCATCTTTCAAGGCCTGGCGTGGCACTTGGTGGGGCCACACAGCCAGGAAGTGGTTTCAGGGGAGAGGAGCCACTGAGCTGGCCTTGAATCCCCACCCTGACGCCCTATCAGGTCTCTCTGGGGATAAATAGGAAAATATTTTGCACGTGAGACTGCCATAATCAGGCTGTATAGTCTCTCTATGCCTCAGTTTCCCCAGTGGTAAAATGGGTTTAGTAAGAGCCCAGCTCAGAACTTTGCTATGGAGAAAAGAATTCGTGGAACGTAAGTGGTCCCTGGCTGTTAATGGGTGATCATGAACAGGTTCACGTGTTCCCATCAGGGATGTCTGGCTGGCTGTAGAGCATCCAATTCTCTTTCTCTCTTTTTAATTTGTTAAACATTTAAATTATTGAGAGACAGAGAGAGACAGAGCATGGACAGGAGAGGGGCAGAGAGAGGGGGAGACACAGAATCCCAAGGAGGCTCCAGGCTCTGAGCTGTCAGCACAGAGCCTGACCTGGGGCTTGAACTCACAAACCGTGAGATCATGACCTGACCTGAAGTCGGATGCTTAACCGGCTGAGCCACCCAGGCGCCCCAAGCATGCAATTCTTGATCTGTGGTCATCACCTTGGGAATAAAGCTTACTTAAAAAAAAAAAAATAAAAGTGTTCCCATCAGCCAGTGCAGAGGACTGTTCAGAGGTGTGTGCCTCAGTTTCTCCATCTGTCCAACCAGATGCAGACCTAGCCTCTCTGTGAGGCCCCTGCCTGCCTGGCTCTCCTAAAACTCCATTTGTATTGGTTGCCTTGGGGTCTCCTAGGAGCGGTTAAGCTCCCGCAGCCCCTCATGCCAGGCTGCCGAAGAGGCTGGGGAGGGACGCCTGGACCCCTGTTGTCCGCGGGAGGCGCTACCATCCCCGAGTTCTTATTTCTGATCTGATAGGAAATTCGGATGTTGGGGTTCCCGTCCCTGCGATGGGGGAGGATATAAGATCCCAGGATCCTGATTTCTGAAGTTCTGTGGATACCTGGGTCCCAGTCCGTGAGAGAGCGTAGGTCCAGACGCCAAAGCCTGACCTCGGGGGCGGGGTCCCCTTCTTATCGGGGAAGGGATACTGACCCCCTGAAATTCTCTCCTGGACAAGGAGGGTCTCACACCTGGATTCGCATCCCTGGCACGGGTACTGAAGGTTAAGTCTCCATGTCTACAGGGGGCTGGGGTGCACGGTGCCTGCCTTGTCCCGAGGGGGCCGCTGGCCGCTGGAACACTGGGTTCTCCGGGGGGACTAAGGCCCCAGTTCCTCCGGATGGAGCCTGGAGCCTCCGGTGTTCCCCTCTCGGGGTAGGGAAGCTCCGACTCCGAGGTTCTCGTTCTGGAGGGCGCCGGACTCCCGGAGCTGCCGTGGGGTGAGAGGACTGGACGCCAGGGCGGCTCGGGAGTCCCTGGCTGGGTACCCCGGACCACCGCAAAGGCGGGAGAGGCCGGCGCTGGGCGGGGCCGAGGGGGCGGAGACGGTGTGGGCGGGGCTCCGCAGACACCGCCCCCGCCTGCCAGCGCGGTCCGCGCGTCTCCAAGTCTGCGAGGCCGCGGTGGGCGCGGAGAACCGAGCGCCACCGCACGCGCGCCCCGCCGAGCCCGGCCTGCCCCGGGGGTCTATGGGGCCACCCCTCTGCGCCGCCCGGCCGGCCCCACGCCGCGCCCGGAGCCTGCCCCGCGGCCAGGTAAGGGGGCTGTGGGTCCTGCGGGTAGGGGGACGCCTGGAGGCTGGCAGGAGGGGACAGGGAACTCCTGGGTCCTGCAGAAATACGGGGCCGGAACTCCAGCGTCCTGGGGGTATCAATCAGGACGCCTGTATCCTGAGGTTGGGGGAAGGGGTACACGGATGTTTGGGTCCTGGAGACATAGGGGGGCTGGGTACCTGGACACCAAGGTCTTAGGGCATCCGGACACCTGGTTGGAGAGGCTTGGGGGCGGCCTGGATCCGGGGGGCAGGGTGGGGGAGGGAATCCTTATTGCCCAGTCCTGGAGGAATGAAGACCCAATTGAACACGTTCGTGGTTCTGGAGGATCTGGATACCGGGACACCTGGGCCCCGAGTGTCGGGTCCATCCTGCTGGCGTCCTCTGGCCGATGCTCTGGCCACTGCGTCGGGGGCTGTGGCTCGCGCGCCCGGGGCTTCGGAAAGGAAGTTGTGGTTGCGGAGATCTGGCGGCCGGGACACAGGGCCCCACCCCAAGGGGCTGGGGGGTGGTCCCTGGGCACGGCATGGGGTGGGGTCCCTGCCCTCTCCCCCCACCCCCTTACCTCCTTAGCGCAGCCTGGGGAATGGGCGGCCCGCGAATGCGAGCACACGGACTCAGTGGGATGGGCCAGGAGAGCGGGACGGAGGGCTCCGGGGGCAGGAGCCGGGTGCGCCTGGGCCCCGGCGAGGCGCCTGCCCCCCGCCCGCCCGGCTTGGGCATGCTTGGCACGCAGCGCGCGGGCCGGTCGGATCCGTATGCGCGCCGCGTGCGCCTATTGGTATGCGGGAGCCGGCCCGGCGCGGGCGTGAGGCGGCCGCGCTGGCGGGCGGCGCGGGGGAGTTGGCGGCGGCGGCGGCGGCGGCGGCGGCGGGGCACGTCCTCGCCCCGAGCTTCGCCTGGGGCCGGGCAGGGCGAGCAGGGCGGGCTCCGGTCCGGGGCCTCCGGGGAGGAGAAACTGAGGCACCCTGCGGCCCCCAGCTCCTTGCTGGGACCCCGAGCCCCTCACGGACCTCAGTTTCCTCAGCGGGTCCCCGGGGCACCCCCGCCAGGCACCGAGCGCTGTCTCTGGCTCCTTCCCGCGGCAGGAGACGCGGGTCTCGAGGCTGCCCTGAGCCCGCCCCCGCGGAGATGGCGGCCCCCTACCCCAGCAGTGGCGGCGGAGGCGAGGTCAAGTGCGGGGGAGGTCGTGGCCGCAGCGTCCCGTGGGACTTTCTGCCCGGGCTGGTGGTCAAGGCGCCGCCCGGACCTTGGTGAGCAAAGCCCCGCCCCCCCGGGCCGTGGCCCCGCCCCCAAGGGCGTCCTGGGAGAATTCACACTCGGCTTTCCGCCCCGCCCTCCGGGGCTAGAATTTCCTACCCCGGGAAGCTCAACCTTTGTTCTACAAACAACCCCCACCGTGTTCTGTTCCTACCCCCCCTTCCTCAGAGTTCATACCCAACATTCTCGTATCTCCCCTCTTCCTCCTCCTCCCGTCGCCCCCAGAGTTTATTTACACCGCGGGTTCTGTCTCCACGGCCGAGTGCAGAATTCACACGCAGGTTCTGCCCCCACCTCCAGTGTTGAATCTACTCCCCACGTCCCGCCGGGGTCCGGGGCCCCGAGGGCAGGGCTCCCGCAGGCCGCGGAGCCCTGAGCGCCGGGGGCCCGCTGACGCCCCCTCCGCGCCGCCCGCCCAGCCTGCAGGCGCAGCGCAAGGAGAAGTCCCGTAACGCGGCGCGCTCGCGGCGCGGAAAGGAGAACCTGGAGTTCTTCGAGCTGGCCAAGCTGCTCCCGCTGCCCGGAGCCATCTCCAGCCAGCTGGACAAGGCGTCCATCGTGCGCCTCAGCGTCACCTACCTCCGCCTGCGCCGCTTCGCCGCCCTCGGGACGCCGCCTTGGGGACTGCGGGCCGCGGGGCCACCGGCGGGCCTCGGTGAGTGCGCGTGCGCGGGGGACGGGGGCCCCAGTGAGAATGTGAAGGGCCCACCAGCCTTTGCCCAGTTCCTCCTTGGCCGAGAGGGAGCACGAGGTTTGCAATCAACCTGATGGCCTCTAGTCTCCAAGCCTCAGTTTATCCATCTGTAAAACGGGCACCCGAGGTAGGCCTGATTTCATGAATTCTGACCGGATCAAGGGCCACAACACCAGGCATCAGACCACTAGTAAATGCTATTATTAGGGAAGATGAATCATTTTCACAAAGGAGGCCCGCAGCTGTGTGGGCGGGACTGAGAGGGCCCAGCCTGCCCCCCCTCCATTCATGGGCAGGAAACCCCCTCACTCAGACTTGACTCTGGAGTCTGAATTCCCAGTTTGGGGAAGCGAGAGGGAGGCAGTATCATGTCGCTAAGATGGAGAGCTTCAGAAAGACTCCTGGGTCTCTATCCCTCCCCTCCCTTGGCCACTTCCCAGCGTGTGACCCTAGGCAGGTCACCTTACCTCTCTGTGCCTGATGTGAAATGGAAATCTTGATGAAAGTACACACACACACACACACACACAGCTGAGAAGGAAGCCAGGTGATGTGTGTAAAGACCCTGGACATACCTGGTATGGCTTATACAATCAGTACGTAAGGACTCTTAGTGCCAAGGGTTACCTTCCGGGGCCTGCAGTTTATTAAGCACCTGCTGTGTGCCCACTACTGTTCTGAGCCCTCGGGATCCAGCAGGAAACAAACTTGGTAAAAGTCCGTGCCCTGCACAGGCTGACATCCTGGTAGCCAAGACCGAATAATGAAATAAAGAAATGCAACCTATAATCTGTAAAAATACAGAATTAGGTAAAACACAGATACACAGATCTCTACTTTCATTAGGATTCGTTTTTTAAATGTTTATTTATTTTTGAGAGAGACACAGAGCGTTACCAGGGGAGGAGTAGAGAGAGAGGGAGGGAGACACTGAATCCAAAGCAGGCTCCAGGCTCTGAGCTGTCAGCACAGAGCCCAACGCCGGGCTCAAACTCGTGAACTATGAGATCATGACCTGAGCTGAAGTCCGACGCTCAACTGACTGAGCCCCCAGGCGCCCCTAGAATTCAACTTTATTATTGATAGATGCCTAGCAGTGTTATGTTACTGTTATTACTTCTGTTTTATGTATTACTGCTTCAGTCAACTAGACGACAGTGAATCGTGTAAATGTGAGGTGGCAGGTGATAGCCACGGGGCACCCCAGGCTACACGGCCCCCAGAAGTACGGGTGTCCTTAGGGTGAGGTTGGAGGGGCTCCAATTCCCCTCCTGCCCTGGTCCCAGGGGAGGAGGGGTGGGGGAGAGAAAATAGCATTGATTAAGCTCGCAATAAATCACCATTTAAATTTAAATAATCCGGCTTCCCAGGCGGTAATTAGGCGAATTGACTGGCGCCCAGAGAATGCGGCATTAGCGCCGCTGATTACTGTCATTACCGCGAACAACACGTGCGCCCGCGGGGGGATAAACATCTTGTCTATTGTCCCGAACGCCGGGAGAGAAAGGAAGGGGGGGGGTGCTGAGATAGTCCCTCCGGCGTCCAGCTCCCCCCCCCCACCTCCCGCTGCCTGGATGGGCACTTGAAGGGGACCGGAGCCCGCTGAGGACACCGCACTGGGGTGGCAGAGCGCGGACTCCATCAAAGCCCCCTTCCTGGACCCCGGGGAGCCCCGCCCCCGCCCCCGCCCCCGGGATCGTATGCCTGGGAGGTACTGCGCGGACTCCCTCCTGTATCCCCAAAAGTACGAATATGGAGGCATCTCCTGCCTCACAGGGTCCCCAACAGAGGCCAAGCGTCTGTTTCGGCAGTTCACACGGGGAAACTGAGGACAGTGTCTTACTAGTCATCTCGAGAGCAAAGCAATGCTCCCATTCTGTGTCTTCCTCAATAATAATAGCAAAAATATACACCGCATGTCAGGCTGTGTTGAGCACTGTAGACAATTAACTCGCCAGAGAATTCTTTTACAACTCGCTTAGTCCCCTCAAAAACATTAGGAGGAGAGCACTGCTGATTCCCATTTTATAGACATGGGAAACTGAGCCCCAGAGAGGTGAGGGGAGGTCTCCTGGGACCTTGCACTTCTTGCTCTGCGGCCCTCTGGGGCTCGGTCTATAAAATGGCACAACAGATGGTCAAGCTTAGCCCCGGACCTCCGAGCCCCGGGAGGAGACAGCCTGGATCTCATATCAGGGCTCATCGTCCATCCAGCACCGTGGAACATAGGACCTGTCCTAGGGGCAGGGACAAGCTCCCTGACCTCAAGGGTGGGCCTACAAGCCCTTCATGGGGGCCCACTGTCCCTCACGTCTCTTATCTCATTTTTCTACCCCTCTCACCTCTTCAAACCCCATGCCATTCCCACTACCACACACACACACACACACACACACACACACACACACACACACACAGAGGCTATCTTGCTGTTCTTCAGAGAAACATGTTGGCGCCTCAGGGCCTTTGCACTTGCTGTGCCTGCCCCCAGGAACCCCTTTCCTTCCAAAAGTCAGCTCTTCAAGAAGGCCTTCCCTGGCCACTCTTAAAACTGACAGCACCCTTGTCCCTCAGCGCTCCCTGCCTTCCTTTCCTGCCTTCTTTCTTTCCAAAGCACTTATTGTCTGTTTATTGTGCCTCTCCCCCATGACACCTTGTTCCCTGAGCCTAGGACAGTGCCTGAGGCACAGTAGGGGCTCCCTAAGTCTTTGTTGGGTGACTGTGGAACAGAGTGAGGTGAGGAGGGTTGACATCTTTTTAAAAATGTTTTAATTTATTTTATTTTTTTTATTAAAAATGATTTAATGTTTTATTTATTTCTGAGAGAGAGAAAGAGACAGTGTGAACGGGGAGGGTCAGAGAGAGAGGGAGACACAGAATCTGAAGACAGGCTCCAGGCTCAGAGCTGGCTGTCAGCACAGAGCCCGATGTGGGGTTCGAACCCACAAACCGTGAGATCATGACCTGAGCCGAAGTTGAACACTTAACCGACTAAGCCACCCAGGCGCCCCATGAGGGTTGACATCTTAATTCACAGGTCAGGCCCAGCCTCTCTCTGAGGAAGTGAACTTTGAGCTGAGACTGGAAGGAGGTGAGGAAGCGAGCCAGGAGAAAAGCTGGAAGAAAAGCAGTTTGGACTGCGGGGTGGGGGGCGGGGGTGGAGGTGCAAAGGCCCTGGGGCGGGCAGGAATCAGCTTGCTGGGTGCAGGCCACAATGAGGCCAAGCAGTCCAGAGACGAGTAGGTGCAGCAGGGAGTGGACAGCAGAGAGCAGGCCCTGCAGGGCCCCGTGGCCTTTGGCGTGGCCGTCCCGAGTGGGATGGGAGCCAGAGCTGGGCGCACGGAGCTCAGTGAGGAGGTGAGTGCAGCGGTCCAGGCTCCTGCCTGGTGGGCCAGCTAGACCAGGGTGGGGGCCGTGGGGTGAGGGGTGGTCGGACTCCGAAGAGGGATGTGCTGCAAACAGCCGGGGCTGGGAGAAAGAGATCGGTCAAGGCCAACCGCAAGGAGCTACCTGGAAAGGTAGAGGTACCCCCAGGGTATCCACCGTATCTGGTAAGAATAAGGGCAGGACTCAGGAATTTGGCACTTCCTGTGTGCCTGGCTGAGTGTTGTTCACACCCACAGACGCACTCACCCTCTAGCATGAGACCCAGTTTGCAGACGAGGCCGAGGAAGGTGGCCCATCTGGCCCTCGGGCCTGTCCCCCTGGGGAGCAGGGCTTCCCTCTCTGGACTCTGTTGCCGCCACCTGGTCAGGGAATCTCTCTGGCCAATTGAGAATAGGAGGTGACCTGGGGCGCCTGGGGGGCTCAGTCGGTTAAGCGTCCGACTTCGGCTCAGGTCATGATCTCACAGTTTGTGGGTTCGAGCTGACAGCTCGGAGCCTGGAGCCTGCTTCGGATTCTGTGTCTCCCGCTCTCTCTGACCCTCCCCTGCCCATGCTGTCTCTCTCTCTCTCTCTCAGAAATAAATAAAACATTTTTTAAAAATAAGAAAAAAAGAGAGAATAGGAGGTGACCAGACCCCTAAGTCCTAGGAGTCCCCTTCTCCCCTGGGGCCCTCAGCCCTGCTCTGTGATGATAACTGGGACAGTTTTTCTTCTCCAGCAAGTCAGTCAGGCTCCAATAAAAAACGCAGCGAATGTTTGTTAAATGAGTGAGTGTCGGTTGGGGTTTGGGCGTGAGATGGGGGCAGATCTGGGAGCAGTAAAGAGCCACCTGCCGAATTTGGGGGACCGAGGAGTTGAGGCATTTGCTGGGAGAGGCGGGAACACGGCGGGGGTGGGGGGAGTCGGGAGTTGGGCTTGGGGGGGGGCTGGGGGTAACAAGACGCGTCAGTCAGGGAAGGGGATCGACCCCCAAGCTCCCGTCCCAACGGGGGAACAGCAAGCCCTCCCCCTGCGCACCCCCCTCATCCGACGTGCCCATTAACGCTGTTAATTGCAGCCGTTCAGTCTGACCTGGGCTGATCCTGTGAGCGGGAAAATGAAGGAATTAGCAAAAATGACAGGGGAAAATTGCGACAATTAGCAGGCGGCATTGTTCCTGCCTGTCACCCGGCTGGTTCGCGCTGCATCTCGGGGGAGGGGTCCCCATCACACTCCCCCCCCCCATTTATTGTTCCTGGTGCTCCAGCCAGGGGTGAGAAAAGAGTGCGAACAGCGGGGAGGTGCTCCGGGGGGACGGGGGCGGGGCTTAGATGTTGGGGGCGGGGCGGGGCTGGGTCCTGACGCGGGGACGGGGCTTGGCCGCGGGGTGTTTTGATGGTCCAGAAATAACAATAGTAATCACACTATTAATACTAATCCCGGCTGTGCGCCAGAAATCCCTTTCTGTCCCTCAAGCTGACTGAGTGCTCAACCAGCCTGTGAGGTCAGCGCTCTTTGCAAATCCACTTGCCAGACGAGGAAACTGAGACACAGAGAGTCCAAGGGACTGGGCCCAGGGCGCACAGTCAGGAAGGGCCCGCCCTGGGCCTTGGCACCAGACCAAGACCCCTAGGCCTACAGGAGCCGACCGCTCGCCCACCCTTAAGGTCACGGAGTCCCCTGGCTCCCTGATTCGGACATAGGGCCCCTTGGGAGGTGTTTCTCTGCAGGGTCAGGGAGAGGGGCCTGCTTGAGAACAGACTCCATCCCCCTCACCCCCCACCTCTCCAGCCCGCTGCCTTCTCTGCTCTGGACTGGGGGGCCGGGTCAGGGGGCTGGGGATCTCTTTGCCCTCGGTCCCATTTGCTATGACCTCCTGTCACTGCCTTTCTCTCTGTCTCTCTTGGGCATCGCCTTTCTTTTCTCTCCATCTTTTTTTTTAATTTTTTAAAAAATGTTTATTTATTTTTGAGACAGAGAGTGAGCGGGGGAGGGGCAGAGAGAGGGAGACAGAGAATCTGAAGCAGGTTCCAGGCTCTGAGCTGCCAGCACAGAGGCCGATGTGGGGCTTGAACTCACAAGGCATGAGATCATGACCCGAACTGAAGTAGAGGCTTACGTGACTGAGCCACCCAGGAGCCCCACTCTCCACCTGTTTACATCCCTCTGTCTTCATCTATCTGTCTGAATTTCTCTGTGTCCACATATGTCTCTGTCTCTCCTTTAAAACATTTTTTAAATTGAAGTAGAACTTATGTGACACGAAATTCACCATCTTATTTTTTAAGATTTTAATGTTTTTATAATTTTTTAAAATATTGTTATTTTATTTCTAGGAGAGAGAGAGAGAGAGAGAGAGACAGCGTGAGCAGGGGAGGGTCAGAGAGAGAGGGAGACACAGACTCTGAAATAGGCTCCAGGCTCTGAGCTGGCAGTCAGCACAGAGCCCGACGCGGGGCTCGAACCCACGAACCAAGAGATCATGACCTAAGCGAAAGTCGGACGCTTAACTGACTAAGCCACCGAGGTGCCCCTGTTTTTACAATTCTTTAACATTTATTTATTTTTGAGAGACACGGAAAGACAGGGCATGAGTGGGGGAGGGGCAGAGAGAGACAGCAGGAGACACAGAATCTGAAGCAGGCTTCAGGCTCCGAGCTGTCAGCCCAGAGCCTGGCGCGAGGCTCGAACCCATAAGCCGGGAGATTATGACTTGAGCCGGAGTCGGACACAACACACTGAGCCACCCAGGCGCTCCAAGATTTGAATTGTTTTATTTATCTTGAGAGAAATAGAGAATGAGCATGCACACGACTGGGGGAGGGGCAGAGAGGGAGAGAGAGAATCCCAAGCAGGCTCTGGGCTATCAGCACAGAGCCCGATGTGGGGCTCGAACTCATGAACCAGGAGATGAAGCCGTGAGCCAAAGTCAGATGCTCACCCGACTGAGCCCCCCAGGTGTCCCTAATTCCGGAAAATTTTTATTGCCTCCCGCCCCTGCCCGCTTCAGGGGACACTCCCCTCCTCTCTCCTTCCCATCAGCCCCTTGGGCAACCATAAATGTCTGCTTCCGGTCTCCGTGGATTTGCCTGTTCTGGACAGTTCATAGAAATGGAGTCACACTGTGTGGCCTCCTGCGTCTTGTGTAATGTTTTCACTTTTTTTTAAGTATGTTCCACGACCCCGAGATCAAATGTCGCGTGCTCCCCCCAGCTGAGCCAGCCGGGCGCCTCTGTATTTTTTAGTTTCTGGCATGTTGTGTGTCTGCCTCTGGGCTGGGAGGGGAGAACCAGCCCGCCCCGTCACCTCTGTGTCCCTAGCACAGGGCCTGCTGCACGGTAGGTTCTCAGGGAGGTTCTGCACGGATGGATGGATGGACGAATGGACGGACGGACCCCTGTCTGCATCCTCTGGTGTCTCTCTGTCTCTGTGCGTCTCAGCCCATTTTTGCCCCTTCCACCCTTCTCCACAACCCAGGTTTCTCCCCGACAGGGCCCGGGGTCCCCAATACCCCAAGATGCCTACAGGGCTGGGGCGAAGAGAGTGGGATTTGTAGCGTGGCTCGAGTGGGGGCCTACCGGCAGACCCCGGCCTCACCCCTCCCTCTGCCCGCAGCCCCCAGCCACAGGGGCCCCGTGGCGCTGGTCTCCGAGGTCTTCGAGCAGCACCTGGGAGGGCACATCTTGCAGGTGAGGCCCCTTCCCGGCCTGATGCTCATTGCTGCCACCTGGTGGCCACTTCCGGCGCGCAGCACCCTTCTCACCAGCATCCATCCCAGCGAGGGAGCTTCGGGACCGCGATTCCCCTTTCGCCTGGCCTTTCCGAGGGTCACCGAATCCCCTGCCCCTCCCCACCCCCCACCCCCGATTAATCCATCCTAGGTGGAGATCCAGATTTTAAAATCTCTTTACCACTTACCTGCTGGACAGACAGATGCCCAGCCCTCCCTCTCTCGCTCCCTGTTTCTCCCCACTCTAGTCCCTGGATGGCTTCGTGTTTGCCTTGAACCAGGAAGGGAAGTTCCTCTACATTTCAGAGACCGTCTCCATTTATCTGGGTCTCTCACAGGTAAGGGGTCCACGGCAGGCTGCCTGAACGGGCTCGGCCACCACCTGCCTTGCTGGCCCACGCATGCCCTTCCTCTCTCCTGGCCTCACCATCCCAGCCCGAAAAGTGGACTGGATCCGTGGTTCCCAAAGTGCACCCCTAGGAACCCCACGTGGATCCTCCTTACAGGCACGGGGGTGGCTATTAAAGTAGCAGGTCAATTTGAAGAGAGCGAATTAGCAGAAAGGCCAGTTTGCCAAGGACTGTTTGCCAAATGCACCATATTTACCAAAACTTTGCCTTTTTTCTCCCCACAACTGTAAAGAAGTACAGCAATTTGCATAGGAAAAAGGGCTTGGGTTTTGGCCACGGTGGAAGATTTTCTGTGGCGGTTTAGTGGACTGGCTTGCGTTTTCTCTTTATCTCAGCCAGCTGTTTCTGCCCTAGCTCCTGCAACTGGCACTGAAAGGTCTAAGGGGACACCTGGGTGGCTCAGGAAGTTAAGCGTTCGACTTCGGCTCAGGTCAGGATCTCCCGGTTGGTGGGTTCGAGCTCTGTGTCCGGCTCTGTGCTGACAGCTCAGAGCCCGGAACCTGCTTCAGATTCTGTGTTTCCCTCTCTGCCCCTCCCCCTCTCGCTCTCTGTCTCTCAAAAATAAACGCAGGCAGGCATGAAACGGAACCCCCTCCCCATCCCTGGGGGTTCTGGCTCCTTGTGGCCTTCCCAATACGTCCAGTACAAATCACTATCCTCTCTTATCTCCTTTACAAAGATTTTGGCAAATGGTAAATTTAGAATTTTTAATGCTTGGAATTTGGCTTTCGTGAGCACTTTTACAATGAGTTGTTGGAGCTGCGTGGAGGAGGAAGACCCTGAAGGTAGAGGCATATAGACACAGGGAAGGGAGGGAGGAAGTGGAGGAAAGGCTTGAAGCTGGTGGAGGGAAGGGTTTAATGAGGAGTTCAGAAGGATGGGGGATGGGGAGCATGTGACCCCAAGCCCAGAGGCAGTGGGAGCTCTAAGAGGTTTCTGAGAGGAGGTGGGCCATGGACAGATGAGGAACTCGGCAAGGGTGTTTGGGGGCTGAAGGCCAGAACACCCAGGAGGGTGCTGGGGCAGGAATACCTCGTGGAAAAGATGGGGGCCTGGACTGGGGGCGGTGTGCAGAGAAGGGGACTGTTTTGAGAGATTTGGGGGTAAATTGAATGTTGAAGTCTGTCTGATTAAGAAGTTACCCTTGATTTTTTTAGTGTTTATTTTGAGAGAGAGAGAGAAAAAAACTCAAGCAGGCACCTGTCAGTGTAGAGCCCTATGCGGGTCTCGAACTCAGGAACCCGTGAGATCAGGACCTGAGCCAAAATCAAGGGTCGAATGCTTAAGCGACTGAGCCACCCAGACGCTTCAAAAAGTTCTAACTCTTTAAAGAGTTCGAAAAACATTCCACTGCTTGGGTCCTGATTGCCATTCCTGGGGGGACATCCTGTGATTCATTTCAGGGCACAGTTTTTTGCTGTGTGTGGGCGGGAGTCGGGTAAATGGAGGCTGTGACAACCCAGTACCCAGCTTCTTAATAGCGTAAGCAGATGCAGAAAATCCTCCGTGATCACCGGGCTTGAAGTGGGAAGGCATGAGAAGGGCCTAAAGGTTTGCATTCTTCTTTTAAAAAGTTAAAAAGAAATTCTAATAAAAACCCGAGGCTGCCATGAAGCGCGCCTGCAACTAGGGCGAGCGAGCCAGAGGCCGAACGCCCGGCGAGTGGCTGCGCGCGCATCTTACCCGCCCTCTGCGGTCCCCTCTTTCGCCGGCAGGTGGAGCTGACGGGTAGCAGTGTCTTCGACTACATCCATCCCGGGGACCACTCAGAAGTGCTGGAGCAACTGGGGCTCCGGGCGCCGCCGACTCCCGGGCCCCCCACCCCGCCCTCCGTCCCCTCATCTTCCTCCTCCTCGTCTTCCTCCTCGCTCGCAGATACTCCCGAGATCGGTAATAAAAGCGCCCCCCCCACCCCCCCAGGGATGCGGCCTAAAGGGTAGATCAGGGAATGCTGCCTCCAGTGAGGTCTCCTTTAAATGAAAACCATTCTCCTTCGAGTTGTGCAAAGTTTTGCAAAAGGAATCAAGAGTTTGAATCAAGGAAACGCGACTTGGCTCCCTAAAATTGCCTAAGCTGCCTAAGATTGCCTGGCTCCCCAGATGCGAGCTTTAGAAGGTGCCTGTGGATGGAATCAGGCTTTGGTAATAATAAAACCCGCGTTGAACGGGCTTCACACAAGCTGCGCCTTTAACTGCGTAATTCGAATCCTAATCACGACCCCACAAGCGGGGGCCTCTCAGGATCCTCATTCTGCAGAGGTGGAAACTGAGGCACAGCGCAGAGAGGTTAAGTTAATCGGCCTGGGTCACACAGCTGTAAGTGGTTGGTCTGGACCACAGCCCTGGACCACAGCCCGGGTTTGTCTGGCTCCCGCATCTGTGTTTCTAGTCCTTCCCTGCAGTGGAAAATTCCAGCCCTTGTTAGAGAAGGAGGGTGTTGGGAGATTACCCTAGAAGTTTCTTTTGGCTCTGAGAGGTTCAGGGACTAGGAGGTAAACTTTCCTGTCCGGAGGATTTTCTTCTACTGGGTTTGCTTCCCACCCAAACCATCTGAGCAGTCGTCAGGGCCTGCACGCTTGCCGGGTGCTTGTGGGCCGGCTGGGGAGAGCGACTGGGTTTGCACCAGAGATTGAGAAACAGGTTCGTCTGGTGGCGAGCAGTTAGAAAACTGTATCATGGGATTTATAGCCTAATCTGGATTTGTGAGTCTTACTTGTTTCCATAGCCAGAGCCCCTGCTCTGTGCTCGGGGTGCTGGGGACACAGTGATTGATGACAGCAACCCCAGCCCTAACTTCCCTGTGCTCACAGTCCAGATGGGGGAAGACCGACCAGTCCCTTGAGAATGATAATCCCAAGTGGTCAAGGCTGGGGTGGGAGACCCCAGAGGGGTGGCTGACTCAGCCTGGGGTGGTCAGGGAGGGCTTCCTGGAAGAGGAGTTGTCTAACCCGAGACCTGGATGGTGTAGCTAGAGATGGTGTCAGCGGGAGGCGGTTCTTGCCGAGGTTTTTAGGCCAAGGTGAGGAGCCGGGCTTCCTGCCAAGGGTCCTAGGGAGCCACGGCAGTTTCAGGGCAGGGAGGGGCAGGGCCACATGTGAGCTTTAGGAAAGGCCCATTTAGCTGCAGCTCCGAGGGGAGGTTAGTATACGACTTCAGTGAGGTTGTGTAACCATTAGGCCGTGGCCATGACCCTGTCTGGGTAGCTGTCCAGGGGGCAGGGGGCAGGGGGCGCCTGTTTCTCCCTCAGGATCTCATAACCTTCCTTCACTCTCCACCCCAGAGGCCAGCCCGGCAGAGGTGCCCTCCTTCTCCCGGGCCCAGGAGCGCTCCTTCTTCATCCGCATGAAATCTACCCTCACCAAGCGGGGGCTGCACGTCAAGGCCTCGGGGTACAAGGTGAGTGTGAGCTCCCTGGCCCCAGACTCCCAGGTGTCGTTGCCGCCTGGCAGAGGGTGGGGAGGAGGGGGGAAGGGGCTCCCGCGTTTCCCGCCAGCTGTGTCCCGTGGCCCCCGCACCATCAGGGTGGGGGTGGGGGACAGCCAGGCCTCTCCTCCAACCCCGCCTGTCGCCCGCAGGTCATCCACGTCACGGGGCGCCTGCGGGCCCGCTCCCTGGGGCTGGTGGCTCTGGGCCACACGTTGCCCCCGGCGCCCCTGGCTGAGCTGCCGCTACACGGACATATGATCGTCTTCCGCCTCAGCCTGGGGCTCACCATCCTTGCTTGTGAGAGCAGGTACCGGGGTCGGGGGCCAGGGCGGGGAGCCGGGGCTGCACAGAGGGAGAGCCGGGGGGGGGGGGGCGGCGCAGGAGCCCTGAGGGAGCAGGTGCTGGAAGGAGGGGGCCGGGGCGGGGCTTTCGGGGATGGGGTGGGTTGTGCTCTGCAGACCCTGCCCCTCCCCCTCCCCCTTTGTCTCTTGCCTCCAATCCCCCCTCCCTGGCCAGGTGAAATAGTCCCCACGCAAAGAGCGCCTTTGGGGTGCCTGGGGCCACCCTTGGCGGCCACTGCTATGACATGACCACTGTACCGAGGGTTAAACTGAGTCCCAGAGCACTCCAGAGCTGGGGGTTCCAGAACCAACCCCTACCTCTTTTCCCCCAACCCCATGGCCTCAGACCCCTTCTCACCTCCTCTGTCACTCCCTGTGCTCAGAGTCAGCGACCACATGGACCTGGGGCCCTCGGAGCTAGTGGGCCGCAGCTGTTACCAGTTTGTCCACGGACAGGACGCAGTCCGGATTCGCCAAAGCCACCTGGACCGTGAGAACCCCTGTCTGCCAGCGCCCCAGGCCTGAGTCCCCCCCCACCCCCGCCACCAGCCCCCTACATGCACCCTGGGCAACAGCTCCCATATGGGGTGGGAGGGCCGTGGGGTCTCTCCCACCCCTCCCACCCTTAAAAATCCAGAAAGCCCCCAGGCCAGGTTAGCCCTCTGTCCTTCTGACTGTGTCTCTCTCCGTTCCCCCTCTGTACTTTCTCTTCTCTGTCCCCTCCCTGCCGCCATCTCTTTCTGTCCCCCCACGTCTCCCTCTCTCGCCCTGCCTTCCTGTCCGCCTGTCTCTCTGTGACTGTCTCGCGCCGTCCCTGCGCTGGGCCCAGTCCTGGACAAGGGTCAGGTGATGACCGGTTACTACCGCTGGCTGCAGCGAGCTGGGGGCTTTGTGTGGCTGCAGTCTGTGGCCACCGTGGCCGTGAGTGGCAAGAGCCCCGGGGAGCGCCACGTGCTGTGGGTCAGCTATGTGCTCAGGTGAGGGCTGTCCCCGGTGGGCCCCAGGGAGGGGGCTTGGGCTGCAGGCTTCTCAGGGAGGGCTTCTCGAAGAGGACGAGAACCCAGAGGGGCTTGAAGACAGGAACGGGAAAGGGGACAGTTGAGAAGCGGGGAGGTGGCAGGGACTTAACTGCAGGGGCAGCTTTGAAGTGGCCTCAGCCCCGGCAGCATGTCTGTATTTGATTCCGGGGCACTGGGGAGCCACGGCAGGCGTTAAGGCTGGAGAGGGTCATGGTCAAATCTGCTGTGTGGAGAACCTCTACCTGCTGCGAAATGAGAGGCCCGAGGGACAGGACGGGCTGGGAGCCCAGGGAGGAGGCGGGGCCGGTCCCGGCAATGCCAGGCAGCGCTGGTGGAGGCGGGGAGGCGGCCATCTGCTGCCATCCACGTCTCTGGCTTTGCGGGGCCTGGATAGGGGCGCCTGAGGAGCAGCAGCCTGAAAAGATGCTGGGGACCCCTAGGTGGTGACACCCGGGGGGGCACCAGGCTGCCCAGGTCTGGCCTTGGGAGACAGGGCGAGGCTGGGGTAGAAGCCAGCCTGGAGTCGGGGGTTCCAGGGACGAGCCCTGAGTCCCACGGGGGGGGGGCTCTCCCCCACCTGTGTTGTCCCCAGCCAAGCCGAGGGGGGCCAGACCCCTCTGGACACGTTCCAGCTTCCAGCCAGCGCGGCCTGTGAGGACGCATCCAGCCCAGAGCCAGAGCCCACAGGTGAGCCCCCACCTCCCCCCGGGAAGCTCCCAGGGGCCTCTGGGACGCCCCCCCCTCCAGTCCAGAAGCCACTAGCCACGTGTGGTGACTTATGTTCAACTAAAAGCGACGGTTGGGTTTCTCAGTCACACCCGCCACCTTTTGAGGGCTCCATAGCCTCACGTGGCCAGTGGCTAATGCGTTGGGAACCTCCTGGAGGAACACCCGCCTGGACCACAGCTGGGGGCCGCACTCGCAGTGTGGATCTCCCTCTTCCAGAGCCAGAGCCTCCGGTGGAAGGGAAGCAGGCTGCCCCCCCGGACAAGGAGGAGGCGCCCCGAACCCGGGGCAAACGCATCAAAGTGGAGCCTGGCCCAAGGGAGACGAAAGACGCCGAGGACGACAGCGGGGAGGAGGAGCCCGCCAGCCACGCGGCCCTGCCGAGGCCCGAGTTTACGTCTGTCATCCGGGCGGGGGCCCTGAAGCAGGACCTGGTGCGACCCTGGGGCCTGGGGCCTCCTGGAGACCCCCCGCCTTCCCTCCTCCACGCGGGCTTCCTGCCCCCCGTCGTGCGGGGCCTGTGCACGCCCGGCGCCATCCGCTACGGCCCCGCGGAGCTCGGTCTCATGTACCCGCACCTGCAGAGGCTGGGCCCGGGCCCCGGCCTCCCCGAGGCCTTCTACCCCACCCTGGGCCTGCCGTACCCGGGGCCCGCGGGCACCAGGGTGCAGCGGAAGGGTGACTGAGGACCGGAGAGCTGCCCCCAGAGCCGGACCCTGAGGGAGGGGCAGGGCCTTGAGGGCGCAGGGGTGGGGCTCTCGGCCCTGACTGCAATTAAACACCTCCTCCCCCGCTGTGGCTCGGTCTCCCGGGGCCTGGGGGGCCCCTGGCTCCTTTCTTTCTCCTTGGTTACCTCCACCTGCTTTTCCTGCTTCCCACGTCTGCCCCTCGCTCGCCCTCCGGTCGCAGGAACCGCCACTCAGGATGTGGACAAGGGTCAGGTTTTAATGTCCCGGTCCTCGGGCCCCGGGCCGGCCAGCGCCCGGCCATTCCCCGTGGTCCCGCTGCTCACTCCGGCGGCGGCGGCGGCCTGCCAGCTTCGTCGGGCCCTTCGGCGGCGGTGGTCCCGTCGTCCTCGGGCACCAGTTCCACATCCAGCTCCAGCTGACCCATGTAGAGACCGACGGCACAAGCCCAGAGCAGGCCCACGGCCAGCACGGCGCCCACGCCCGCCGCCGCGCCCCCCGGCGACAGCTGCATGGGCCCGCGCAGCGCCGCCAGGCCCACCACGTAGGAGGCACCGCCCCACACGACGCACAGGCCGCCCAGCAGGAAGAAGCCTGTGCGAGAGGGCGGAAGGCCACGGTCAAGGGAAGGCAGGGCCTGAGCTCCCAGTTTGGCGCTGCCGTGGGGTGGATGGGGGAGGGGGGGGTCTGGGGGCGACAGGACCCTGGGGACAAGGCGGGTCAGGGGACCAAGATGGAGTTAGAGAATGAGGCAAACTCAAACGCAGAGCAGGTGTCGAGAGTGGTACAGAGCCAAGGTCAGGGCCGTGAGAAGGTAGCAGAGGACGTGTCTAGGACAAGGAGACGGGGTTCGGGACCCCAGGCTAGTGGGGAGCTGGTCTGAGAGCAAAGACAGGGATGGAGTGGCGGCGGCGGCAGGGCCGGCATGAGGGGCTAGACAGGACCCTCATCTTTGTTGCAACGACAGCTCGGGGGTGGCAAGGACCCACACCCCTCCCTGGGCCACCCACTCGGCTGATCCAGTGCCCACAAAGTAGGGATGGATGGATATAAGGGCAACACAAGTGTGGCTGAGGTGGGCGGGGAGGAATCTACACCCACCAGGGAGGGGCGGGGGGAGGGTGTCTGCACTCACCGTAGGCAGCTTCCCGACCCATGTCACTCTGCATGAAGGAGATGACCCCGATGCCTGAGGCCAGGAGGCCATTGCGGAACCAGGAGAGAAAGGCTGGAGGAGGGGGGAGGGAAGAGATCAGCATCAGCCCAAACCTGGTCAGTCCAGACCGTGTTATCCCATTGCACCCCAAAGCCCCACCCCGCCCTGACGGCCCTCCATTTGACCTTATTCCCCTCCCCAAACGGGCTGTAGCTTCCGTCCATCTGAGCCGTCTCCCCCAAACTCTAAAGCACAAAAGATTCAACACACAATCTGCAGAAGAATCTAGGAACCAAAACTGGCGAATATAGGTATGAGAACAGGAAGGTCCCAAACGGTCATCCTGGTCAACGCCCCCCTCTCCCCAGACCTGTGTATCTCCCCCCATCACCCCCACGCTCCAGGACAAACTCTTCTGCACTTCAGGCCTCTCCCCAGCCTTCCCCTTCAGTTATCCTCAAACGCCAGTCATCTGCCACCGCACGTGTCCTTCCTTGATGTAACTCACATCCATTCAAATCCCCTGTGTGGCGCTAACCGGCCGGCGGGGGTTACCGGCCCCACACCCGTGCCCCGGCCACTACCAACTCTCGGCACCTATGCGGCCCCTCCCCCCTGCAGCCTGGATCACCTGGCCCTCCAATCAGCCCAGAGATTGGCTTTTATTGGTTGTTCCTTCCTCCAATCGGGAAGTCGCCCCCTCTTCTGTGGGGATCCACGCTCCCGCCTAATGCAGAGTGGTCGCCTCTTGGATCTGAACTGGCTTCCCCAAAGCGGACCCCTTCAGTAGGCAACACCCCGCCCTCAACCCTCTTCGGATGCCTCTCTCGCCCAGACAGTGCGGTTTTATATAAGGCCGCCGGTCGTACCCCGACCGACCTTTCCGATCCCCACTGCGCCCCACTAGCCGGACACTGTCCCATCCGCAAGCACTTCGATGCGGACGGACTGCGCTCTTGCAGCAACTGCTTCCCTGCGCTTTTACGGAAGCCCTGCTCGCTCCGGAGCCCCGGCCCGGTTTCCAGCAGAAGCTCCACCCCCATCCCCCACTCGCGCGCGCCGACAGCTCGGCTCTCCGGCGCCCCTGTCCCACCGGGCCCGACCGCAGCCCCAGCCTCAGACCTGTCTCATGCGCCTTCCGGAGGAGCCAGGCGTCCGCACGGTCTAGCTCGGACACTGGGGGCGGCGAAGCCCCGGCGCGGGGGCCGTGGCCGGGGGCGAAGGACCCTCGGGCGGCCCCGCTCCGGGGCCGCGGAGGCGGCAGCAGCGCCCCCCGGAAGCGGAGCCGGGCCAGTCGGGCGGCCCGAGCCCACCACCAGCCGCCTCCCATGGTTCGCACTACGGCCGCCGCTCACCGCCCCGCCCCCACGGGCCACCCGTAGGCTGAAGCACACGTCACTCATGCACGGCGACTCACCCATTGGCCTTGAGAGCGCCACTCAGGGCTGGCGCCCGCGGCCCATTGGTCCAAATAGCGGTGATTCCTCCTCTGTCATCTGTGCCGGTACTGCGCGTCCCACCTTGCTTCCGCTGCTGGACTACGAATCCCAGCGATCATTGCGCCCGTAGAAGGCCGGTCTTCAGAAGCCAGAGGCACGATGTCTGTCGGGATTTGTAGTTTATGTTAATAACTTTAATTCTAATAGACAATTAACAAAAACAAAACAAAACTCGGGTAATGCAGAACCTTTGCAAAATCTGGAAGAGCCCGAAGGAGAAAGTAAAACTCAACATTAATGCCACTGATGAACAGTTACTGCTATTTGTTGTACTCCTGTCCTTTTTTTCTAGGCGAATGGAAAATGAGATGCTGTTTGACAAATTAACTTTTTTCATAGAAGCGAACATTGATGGCATTGAATACTTTTCACTTCATACTTTTTATATTTAAGATATTATTGGGGTTGAGGGGAGGAGAGAGGAAAAAAATATTATTGGGGCTCCTGTTTGAGCCACCGATTCTTGATTTCCACTCAGGTGGTGATCCCAGGGTGGTGGGATCGAGCCCCACCTCCACACTCACGTGGAGCCTGCTTAGGAACTCTCTCCTCTCTCTTCTCTTTCTCTTCCTTTTTCCCTCCCTCTCCTTCTCGTTCTCTTTCTCTCAAAAATAAATATTTTAAAATTTTAAAACAAAAATAAAATCTTTAAAAAAAAGAGGAAGGCAGAGATGGACAAATATCATATGTTTGCACGTACAGGAGGATTTGGAGGAACTTGACGGAGGAACAAGGGGTGAAGAAGGGCGGAAATGGTGGGGGAAAGGGAGAGAGGCAAACCATGAGAGACTCTTGAATGCTGACAAAAACTGAGGACTGATGGATGTGGGGGGGAGGGGGGATAGGCATGGAGGAGGACACTTGTGGGGATGAGCACTGAGTGTTATGTGGAAACTAATTTGACAATAAACTATTTGTAAAAATAAATAAATAAATTATTTGTAAACAAATATATTATTGTTTATGCTTATAATAGATTCTATCTAAATAAAATCACATTCTTATATACTGTTTTATTTGATCTAATTTCAACTTCCCACTCTGGACTGTATTGGCACTCTATAAGGACATTTTAATTAANCTGACAAAAACTGAGGACTGATGGATGTGGGGGGGAGGGGGGATGGGCATGGAGGAGGACACTTGTGGGGATGAGCACTCAGTGTGATGTGGAAACTAATTTGACAATAAACTATTTGTAAAAAAAAAAAAAAAAAAAGAGAGAGAGAGAGAAAAGAGTGGGCTGGGGTGGCTCAGTGGAGTGTCAGACTCTTGATCTTGGCTCAGGTCATGATATCATGGTTTGAACCCCGCATCTGGCTCTGCACTGTGCTTGAGACTCTCTCTCCTCCTCTATCCAACCCATGTTCTCTCTCTCTCGCTCTCTCTCTCTCTCTCTCGCTCTCTCTCTCTCTCGAAAAATAAATAAACTTGGGGCGCCTGAGTGGCTCAGTTGGTTAAGCGACCGACTTCGGCTCAGGTCATAATCTCAACGGTTTGTGGGTTCAAGCCCCACGTCGGGCTCCGTGCTGACAGCTCAGAGGCTGGAGCCTGTTTCAGATTCTGTGTCTCCCTCTCTCTCTGACCCTCCCCTGCTCAATCTGTCTCTCTCTCTCAGAAATAAATAAAACATAAAAACAAACAAACTTAAAGAGAGAGAGAGAGAGAGAGAGAGAGAGAGAACATTCTCTGCCCTGAACTTTCTCAACCTGATAAAAGACATCTACAAAAAATTTACAACCTGCATCATTCTTACGAGTGAAATGTTGACTGCTTTTTCCCTAAAATTGGAAACAAAGCGAGGAGTTCCATTCACACTACTTCTAATCAACATTGTATGTGAAGTCCTTGCTAGTGCAATATGCAAAATAAATAAATAGAATACCACAGAGATAAGATAGAAGAATGGGCACTGTCAATATTTGCACATAATGCGATTGCTTATGTGGAAAATTCTAAAGAATCAAAATAACTACTAAAACTACTAAGTGAATTTAGCAAGATTTCAGGATACAAGGTCAATATACAAAAATCAATCTTATGTTTATATGCTAGCAGGAAACAGTTGCAAAATGATACTAAAAATAGGTTCCTGGGGCACCTGCCTGGCTGGTTTAGGCAGTAGAGCATGCAACTGTTAACCTCAGGGTCATGAGTTCAAGCCCCACGTTGGGTGTGGAGCATACTTAAAAAAAAAAAATAAACCTTTTTAATATATAAAAAAAGTTCCTTTACGATAGAATCGAACTCAAAAATACTTTTATTTATTTAAAAATTTTTTAAATGTTTTATTTATTTCTGAGAGTGACAGCGTGAGCAGGGGAGGGTCAGAGAGAGAGGGAGATACAGAATCTGAAACAGGCTCCATGCTCTGAGCTGGCTGTCAGCACAGAGCCCGATGTGGG